TATATATATATATATATATATATATATATATATATATATATATATATATATATATATATATATATATATATATATATATATATATATATATATATATATATATATATATATATATATATATATATATATATATATATATATATATATATATATATATATATATATATATATATATATATATATATAAAAGCTGAAGTCAGAATTATTAGCCCTCCTTGAATTTTTTTTCTTTTTTAAATATTTTCCAAATTATGTTTGACAGAGCAAGGAAATGTTCACAGTATCTCTGATAATATTTTTTCTTTTGGAGAAAGTCTTACTTGTTTTATTTTGGCTAGAATAAAAGCAGTTTTTAATTTTTTTAAACACCATTATAAGGACAAAATTATGAGCCCCTTTAAGCTATAATTTTTTCGACTGTCTACAGAACAAACATTCGTTATACAACTTGCCTAACTTGTCTAACTTGCCTAATTACCCTAACCTGCCTCGTTATCCTAATTAACCTAATTAAGCCTTTAAATGTCACTTTAGGCTGTATAGAAGTGTCCTGAAAAATATCTAGTAAAATATTATTTACTGCCATCATGGCAAAAATAATATTAGGTCACCTACAGCTTTCGTCATGAGCCATGGCTGTGTTCAAAATGGCATGAATGTTTTTAAAGTGCACTACGAAAGGAGCGCAATTGTCAATATGAAGATTGCTAAAACTGAACTGTAAAAATACTCTGAAAGCAAATTACACCTAAGAGAGATGAGTTTAAATTTTTTTTTTTTTTTTTTATCATCCCAACTTTAAATGTTAGAACGTTCTAAATGAATAGACCATAGGGTGGATAATGGGGAATTGAACACAACCAGGAACTATGCTTCTAACTACAGCTCTAGATGTGTAGTTGCAAGTGTACAAGTTTGCGATGCAGTTTGCAAATGTTCATTTGAACGATGGATATGGGAAACCAAATCAACAAACTATGTTTGTAACAATGAAACTTGTGACCTTAGTTAGCTAATGATGGTTTTGATGCCAAAACTTGATATTTTACGTAATGTAAAGTTATATCAACTTAATTTCTTTATTAATGACAACTGTGGGATTTACAGTGTGAAAGATTAAAAAAAAGATATTTTGCTGGTCGGTCTTTTCCTTGCAATTATGTATGATGAAAAATAAGTAATAAGTAGTAATAAGTAAGCAATTCTGAAAAACAACATAAAACGGCTATAAACGAAGCTAATTCAAGGTTTCTGAAGAGATCAAATAGATGGCTCAGTGGTTAGCACTGTCGATTTACAGCAAGAAGCTTGCTGGTTCGAGTCCCGGCCAGTTGCCATTTCTGTGTGGAGTTTGCATGTTCTTCCTGTGTTGGCGTGGGTTGAATTAACTCAAATAAATTACTCGTAGTGTATGAGAGTGTGTGTGAATAAGTGTGTATGGATGTTTCCCAGTACTGGGTTGTGGCTGGAACTGCATCTGCTGCGTAAAATATAAGCTGGAATAATTGGTGGTTCATTCGGCTGTAGCAATCTCTAACATGGAGACTAAACTGAAGGAAAATGAACAAATGAATGAATGAAAAAGAATGTTCCTCTAGAGCAGAGATGCCCAAAGTAGAGCCCGCATGCCAAAGTTGGCCATTTTAACTTTTGATTTGGCCCACCATCCCATCTGAGCGGAGAAGTAAGTATAATGGAGAAGGTTGGGACGAACCCCTTTAAAACAGAGATCGTAATTTCTAATTTGACGTAACCTTTTATGTTTGTTTTATTGCCGAGCTACAATAAAAGCAAACTGAAATGAACATTTTCAAATAAAAAGTAAATGAGTCAGATTTTTAAAAATGTAAATACTGTCACTCGACAGATAGAGGACTATGCAGAAGCAAATCAAAGCAAAATCTAGTGCAATTATAAATTTGATTGTTTTTGTTTTACTCGAACAAGTGCATTATAAAGGCATCGAAGTGGCACAGTAGGTAGCGCTGTCGCCTCACAGCAAGAAGGTCGTTTGGTCACTGATTCGAACCTAGGCTCAGTTGGCGTTTCTGTGTGGAGTTTGCATGTTCTCCCTGCGTTCGCGTGGGTTTCCTCCGGGTGCTCCGGTTTCCCCTACAGTCCAAAGACATGCAGTGCAGGTGAATTGGGTAGGCTAAATTGTCTCTAGTGTATGAGTGTGTGTGTGTGTGGGTGGATGTTTCCCAGAGATGGGTTGCGGCTGGAAGGGCATCTGCTGCATAAAAACGTGCTGGATAAGTTGGCGGTTCATTCCGCTGTGGCGACCCCAGATTATTAAAGGGACTAAGCTGACAAGAAAATGAATGAATGAGTGAATTATTAAATGTAAAAAAAAATCCTGTATTAGTTAATATAAAGCAATGTTTTCTACTCATTTCTAAACATTAAATAACAGAGAAAATTACCCAACTATATTTACCTTCGGCCCACTAGCCTCAAAGTTTTTTGGCCCTTCATAAGGAAAAATTTGGGCACCCCTGCTCTAGAGTGAACTGTTAACTGATAGCAACTGCAACTAAATCTGTGAGCTGCACATTCGTTTTAATTCATAACAATCATTATATCATTACATTTTTGCAAACAGAATTAAATAGTGTTGTGAATAGTGTCTGTTTCTTACATAGAAATCATAACTTCAAAAAGCTTGAAAGATTACACAAGACTTGTATGCACCACTTTATTGTACCGTTATGAAGTAATGAAGTCTGAAAATTGTTTGTATATTTTGTGTAAGAAAAGAGCAAAGGAGCAAAATGGCTCTAGAATGACACGAGTGACTCACGCTTCCTCTTTAAAATGTGTTTTTTCTTACAGCGACACCAGGCTAATCTGTTAGGGACTTGCGCTCCAGCCTTTTCCATCAAACCAAAACATGAAGTCCCACAAAACAACAGTGGCGCAATAAACTTTTGCTCAAACAAGTTGTTTACACTTACTTGAATTCTTCTGTTCAACACGTTGGGTCGTGACCCCAAAAACAAGATCTGTTTTTAACAGCTTACAAACAGCAGGGACATAAACGTTACGAATGTGAATAGTGAAACATTACAGCACTTGAACGAAAATAATATGCTTTGTGATGCCTTTTGTTATTTGCTCTTCTAAATGCTGATGAAAATATTGACATTTTAGGACAATTTTATGTTAATAGTGTTTAAAAAATAAAAAAGCAGCAAAAAATAGTTTCTTCCAAATTTTGATATGAGTACAAGCATACATAATTAGACTTCCTGACAAAAGTCTTGTCGTCGATCGCCAATTTAAGAGAAACAATAACTTGACTTCTAGTTGAATATTTGGAAAAGTGGCAGAATGTAGCTTTTTCTGATGAATCATCTGTTGTACTGCATCCCAATCCTCACAAATACTGCTGAAGATCTATTGGAACCCGTATGGACCCAAGATTCTCACAAAATCTGTCAAGTTTAGTAAAGAAAAAAATCCTGGTTTGGGGTTACATTCAGCATTGGGGTCTGCGAGAGATCTGCAGAGTGGATGGTGACATCAACAGCCTGAGGTATCAAGACATTTGTGCTGCCCATTACATTACAAACCACAGGAGAGGGCAAATTCTTCAGCAGGATAGCGCTCCTTCTCATACTTCAGCCTCCATATCAAAGTTCCTGAAAGCAAAGAAGGTCAAGGTGCTCCAGGATTGGCCAGCCCAGTCACCAGACATGAACATTATTGAGCATGTCTGGGATGAGATGAAGGAGGAGGCATTGAAGCTGAATCCAAAGAATCTTGATGAACTCTGGGAGTCCTGAAAGAATGCTTTCTTTGCCATTCCAGATGACTTTATTGTGAGTCATACACAATATTAATTCTTTGTCCACTGCACCATGACTTTATATTCTATACTGTACTTTATTTCTGCTAAGTGACAAGACTTTTGCCTAAGCAAAGTTAGACCTTACTGTCAAAATTAAATAATTAAATTAAGGCATGATTACAGTGTTTCCTTTAGGATATTTCCATTTATGGTGGCAGACTCTGTTGGGCATTTTATACAGATCTACCACTACATGTGGCGTTATTTCATTGACGAATGTCGTGGGTGCAGTATTTAGTCGAGATCGCATTAATGTAATAGCCTACGAGCATGTCAATCTCTACTCGAGCGCCGATTTCCTCTGTTCGTGCGCAAACTTCTTGCGCGCCATCAAGTATACACTGCTCAATTGCAAATTTTTTAGCACGCCCTCACATAAACGCGGCTGAAGTGTGATTTAGTGCGTTTATGTACCGAGTATGTCTCCAACATTTATTAGATTTGCTGGAAATATTTCTGAATGTCTCAGATAGACTTGCGGAGCGGACCGCGGCATTAATGCATCCTGAAGTAAAGTGAAACGGCTAAATACTCCTGCAAGGTAAAGTCATTATATGCAGAGCCACAGACCTTTATCTATAAATAAAGTAAATTATGGAAACTGTGTTCATCATAACTCAAAGCT